GCTACAAATGGTTATGGCATCGAAGCATTGCATTTGTTCGGTGTTACAAAAGTAGGTGTCATACCAACATATATTACACTTACTACAATTTTATCTGCATGCAATCATTGTGGTTTGGTTAAAGAGAACTTGACGAGACGTTACCCTCACCTATTCGCGAAAATTAAAATTTCGAGGACGAAATTTAACCCAAGGTGGGGAGGATTGTAACACCCTCGAATTTCTCCTCCTCCCTCTGTCTCCATCTCTTCCTGTCGGGATTTTCTCCGTCCCGTGTGCTTAGTATATGCCCTTAATTGTATTTATATGTATTTAGATGGGTGTATTAAATGTTGGGGATTTAGCACTTTTTATTTTATTTGATCATTTCAAAAGAGTGGAAATCTTATTTGATGATTACCTAGTAGTAATATTAGGACTAGAGGTAAAAGTAGGATTAGGGGGGGGGGGGTTGTTACCCCTCGTGTTTTGACCCAAAACCAGTGGGCATACCCTCATGAAAAGACTTACCTCTTTGTTTTATTAACTGGCCGACTGTCACTGCAGAAAGGGGAGGGAGTCCTTTACTTGGGAGTTTCTTTTTGAAGGTCCTTGGGAAGAAAGGTTGGGGGAAAAAGAAGGCTGCCAGTCGAGAGTATTGGAAAGGGGGGGAGGGTATTCTCTCATCCAAGTTACTTAGAACCCTTCTTAGAAATCACCTGCAGTTTCCGTCGCCGACCTCAAACTCCGGCCACGGCCTGCACGCAGCGACTGCCCGTGCGAGCTGCGCACAACTGCTGTTACCGTGCCTTGCTCGTGTCTGTCCCCGAACTCCAGCCGAGTTACTTCCTTTTCTGCCTACCTACTTCGTGCCTCCAGCAGCCACCACCTGCAGCAGCCTTCGGGTGTTGTATCTTCACCGAAGTTGCGCCCAAACAGCAGCTTAGCTGCGTGCCCTTCGTCCTTTCGCCAAACCGCAGCAAAGAGCTGCGTTTTCTGCACCTTTTTCGCCCAACACCAGCAGCAGACGCTGTCTGCTTTTTCGCCTCTCCACAGTCGATCAACAGCAAGAAAAAGGGGCTGTTTTTCCTCCTTCTCGTCGCCCAAACAGCAACCTGTTTGCTGCCCACCGAGCCTCACGAAACAGCAAGAAAAGGGGCTATTTATCCATCATTTTCACCAAAACTGTAGCAGCAAAACATCAAGAAACAGTGGCTGTTTACCCGTCTTCTTTTCGCCGAAACAGCAGCAACAAACAGCGGGCCGAAAGGGCGCTGTTTCCCCGTCTTTTTGTGGTAAACGGCAACAGCAAACAGCTGCTGTTTTACGTGCAGCAGCGGAGAATCGAGCAGCCAGACAACTACTGTTTTACGCGTGCGGCAGCAAAGAAAAGGCAGTTGATGAGGCAGCCGTAGCTACTGTTGGGACCGCCTTAGTAAATCAAGGACCGATTGCCACTTTCAGCCTTTTACTTAAATTTTCGGGGCTTATCCAAAGCCCACAAAGGTGAGTCCATCTTAAACTCCTTAGGTGAGGATAAATACTGTTGATATATATATATAAGATCTTACTATTCCCATGCCTTATTTGCTCGCATGTATTAGATGAAATCCTTAGTTTTGGATATGAAAATAAAAGGGACGTGAATACCTCTTCTCGAATATATATATTGTTGGTCCTTAATATCAAGAAAAAGGGGAAAACCTTGTACCTTTAGTTTGGAGACCTCTTTAGTTGACGGGAATACCTTACCTCGAGATAGGACA